CCATCACAGGCAATCACATTTTCGGTGGTAGAAGTCTATAAAAAGGAAAAATATTATTTAAAACTTGCACACAGTTAGTCTTTTTTCTTTTTGACACTTTGCACGCTTTTATATTTTCACTATGTCAAAGGAGATCAACATTCTTCTGGTGGGTGAGACTGGTGCTGGCAAATCAACCACTTTGAATGCTCTTGCCAACTATCTTCGATTCAGCACCTTTCAAGAAGCTCTAAACTCTGTAACTGATTTTAGTGAAGTGATTCCCTCTCAGTTTACGCTGCCTGACCCGAGAACTGGCAGAGACTGCGTCATCAAATCAGGTCCTGCTGATGCCAATGAACGACACGGAAGCGGAAATTCTGTCACCCTCGCTCCAACTGGTTATCGATTCACCATCGGTGACCATATTTTGCGAGTAATTGACACGCCTGGAGTGGGCGACACTGGCGGCACTGCTGATGATAAGAAGAACTTTGAGCACATTCTGACCTTTTTGCAAATGCACAAAGATCTTCATGGCATTCTAGTTATCGTCAAGGGAAATGATTCCCGAAAAACAGCCTTCTTCAAGTACTGCATCACCGAGCTTCTGACGCATCTTCATCGAAGTGTCGTTGAAAATATTGTGTTTTGCTTCACTTTCAGCCAAATTGTTCCCGGCACTTTTGGCCCCGGCCAAGGATACGATACTTTAAAGTCATTTCTTGAAAGTGACATCAAGTCTGTTGGAATTACTTTGGAGCCTGGAAAAAACGCCTTTTTCATTGAGAATGATGCTTATCGCTTTCTGGTGGCCAAAAAGCAAGGGTACCCTTGGAATGAGTTTCAAGAGCTGCTCTATCGACAAAGTTGGAACCATTCAGTGAAGGAGTGCGAAAAGATGATGAGTCGCATTCTGACGGTACCACCGCACAATCTTTCTGCTACCATTTCGCTGCACAATGCCCGAAAGATCATCATGGAGCTGTCCGAGCCAATTGTTCACCTGTCTCGAAACATTGAGCAGAACATTGCTGACATGCAAAAGCACGAAAGTGAACTACAAAATGCTACCCACACAAAGGAGGACTTGGCTAAGTTTCTTGAGTTTCAGGTGACCGACTTGGAGAAGCATCCAAGTGATAGCCCAAAGATGGTTTGCACTGCCTCAAAATGCGTGGAGATAATTAATTTTGAAGGCGAAGAAAAGATCAACTACCGCACAGTGTGCTGTGAGCCCTGCAACTGTTTCTACTTCAACAACACCTTAATCGGTAAGTGATTTGTACTTTTCTGTTTTGAATGTTAACTAGTTAACATGTTCAATAATAAATTTCCTCTTTCAGGCGACGTTGCGACGATGTTCTGCGCTGCCATGCGACCCAACGTAGATCTGTCCACACTGGAAACTCTGCTGAGTCCCTCAGTGAACTGCACTGTCTGTGGCTGCAACTGGTCTACCCATATGCCTGTTCGCTATGACTACGTTAAGGTTATGCGAAAGCTGGTGGATAGAGACGTTGAACGACAGCTAGAAGAAGCGAATGATGCTATTGAGCAGAAGAATATTCTTATCAAGGTGGCTAACGAGCAGATCGAAAAGCTGAAGCAGGAGAAGGCAACAATTGAAAACATTGGATCGCAGTTTNAACGACAGCTAGAAGAAGCGAATGATGCTATTGAGCAGAAGAATATTCTTATCAAGGTGGCTAACGAGCAGATCGAAAAGCTGAAGCAGGAGAAGGCAACAATTGAAAACATTGGATCGCAGTTTGCTTACTTTTTGACGGATAATTCGATGTTTGTAAGTTAATCGGCATTCTATATTTAAAACTGTTAGTAATATTTTTCTTTACAGACTCACAACCGCTACTTTGACAACTATCTCGACATGCTGATTGACCAGTAGAACCAGAAGACTACTCCCAACACTGAAGATCTGTTTCGTTTGAAGCGAGAACACAAAGCCAACGTTTGCCGCTTGACAGACGCTATTCGCAATTGCTCCCATGCTCAAATTACTGCTGAAGATATTCCACGACTGCAAGAAGAGCTGTTAAAGTTAAAACACAAAGGCCACATTTTTAGACAGNCAGGAGAACCAGAAGACTACTCCCAACACTGAAGATCTGTTTCGTTTGAAACGAGAACACAAAGCCAACGTTTGCCGCTTGACAGACGCTATCCGCAATCGCTCCCATGCTCAAATTACTGCTGAAGATATTCCACGACTGCAAGAAGAGCTGTTAAAGTTAAAACACAAAGGCCACATTTTTAGACAAATTCTACAGACTAATGAAAAGATGCGCAGTCAATTTAAGCAAAAGGAAAAGAATGTTCTTAGTTTGTCTGGCATTGAGAATGCATTCTCAAAATTACTGAAACAGTTTATGTAATTTTTTTTAGTTTAATAATAAAAATGATTTTTGAAAACTGTGTCAAGTATTTTTGAGCAATCTAAGCTTATCAAATTATTATAATCAAAATGCTTTTAGATAAATACTCAACAAGGGATCAGCAATTTAAGTTTTACTAAATTAATTACCGTATTGCTTCTGGTAATCTGCACAAAAACTTAAAGGTCGGTTTACTAATTAATGATTGTATTAAAAATGGTTTCACACTTTTTAAGTTTTAAAAGAAATACTGTTGATATGATTTTAAATAAAAATACATAAAAATATGTAATTTTACATTTTTTGTTAAATGTATTACAAAATGTATTTTCAATTATTTTTAATATTTTTAACTNAATACTGTTGATATTATTTTAAATAAAAATACATAAAAATATGTAATTTTGCATTTTTTGTTAAATGTATTACAAAATGTATTTTCAACTATTTTTAATATTTTTAACCTTTGAGGGTTTTATGTTTGCTGAGGGTAAATAGTGAAACCTTTTTGCATTTTTTAGATTTAACAAAAACTTGCTTGCTTTTTTAGAAACATGCAACACAACAGCTTGCAAGCTTGCTTCAGTGTCCATTTTGTCACAACTAAATCGAACATTCGATCCATGTACTGATTTTTATTCGCATGTTTGTGGCAATTATCCTGCTCATCATCCACTTGACAATAACGAATGGACCAATTCGTTCTCTGAACGTCAAAAACTTGTAATCAAAGAAATTGATGAAGCATTCCTTAATGCCAAATCTAAATCAAAATCGAAATCAATTCATTTTGTGTCAGAATACTACTCTGATTGTATGAACGCACAGGGTATGAACGACAGAGGCACGGCTCCACTGCTTGACTACATTGAAAGTGTGATTGGAGCTTGGCCAATGATTAGAAAGCCAAAAAAGCATGTAGAGAAAAAGTGGACAGATCTTTTTGCAGATGTTTATTCTAAAGCTGGCTTGAGCTACATAATTCAAGTGAATAACGACTCACATTCCATTATGGTATGTGGTAGAATTAATCACTTTTTTATTTCTTACTGTTTTTATCAAAGTTTGAGCCAGGTCCTTTAACTTTGAACCCAAGAGTAACGCGTCATCTTCTTCCAAGTGTAAACTCAAACGAAACTGTCATTCAAAGTTATCGTCAATTTTTGAACAATGTAAGCGCTGTTTTAGAAAGTGCAAATAATTCTGAAGCCATTGAACAAGTTATCCACTTTCAATTAAAACTTGAAAAAGTGTATGAATTGTATAAAAACAATACAGCATTAAATATTAGCAATTTAGGAAAAATTTCTGCTGAAACTATAGATTGGCTGAGCATTATGAATCGAATTTTGGCACAGTTTCACTCATCAGCTCCCAAATATACTTCAACAACTAAAGCTGCTGCACAAACCAAATACCTGAATTCAGTCATAGAAGTCCTGAACACTACTCCTGTTGATGTAATTCAAAACTTTTATGGTGTTGCAATCTTGTTGAACTATGGTCCGCTAACGACCGACGCTCTTCGTCGTGCTCAATCCGACTTTGATGGCGAAAAAATTTATTTAAATATCACTAATGTTTGTCCTTTTTTGCTATCTGCCTGGCCACTGCTAATGGGCAGAATGTACATTGATACTCATTTTTCATTAGAAGAAAAAACCAAGGCAACTAACATGGTGAATGAAATTCGCTCATCGTTTCGAATTAATTTGCAAACAAACAATTGGTTGGATTCGGAGACTGCAAAACATGCTATTGAAAAACTAGATGCTATTCAGCATTTTGTTGGTTTTGACGAGTGGATTCTCTCCGATGAATTGATTGACAAGCACAGCAATGTGATACAAAATAATGAAACATATCAAAAAGGAAAGTTTTTAGAAACTTTTATTAATTTTAGTGTTCGAAGTAGAAAAGATAATTTAGAAAATCACCCACCATATCAAGATCCCAAGTTAAGGTAAAAGTTTTTTTATTAACATTGTTAAATTTTTAAATTTATATAATTTTAGAAACTTTGTGAATCCTCTGATTGTAAATGCATTTTACAGCCGATCCATCAATAGTATTTGTAAGAAATTACTTTTCAAAAACATTTTTAACATTGCATAACATTAATGTGACTTTACAGTTATTCCAGCTGCCATTCTTCAACCGCCATTCTTTGATCATGAGTTACCTTGGTCTGCTAATTATGGTTTGCAGCACAATTTTTTTTATTAAAAAGCTTTAAAAAATTGTTACAATATAACTTTTTGTTTAGGTTCAATTGGCGCTATTATCGGTCACGAGTTGACACATGGATTTGATGCAGAGGGAAGAAAGTATGATTTGCATGGAAACTTCTCCAATTGGTGGACAAATGCCACTCTTACAAAGTTTTTAAATAAAACAAAGTGCATTCAAGAGCAGTATGGACAAATCCACGACCCGGTAGCTGATAAAAATGTAAGTATATTTTTTGTATTTTTAAACAAACAAATGTTGAATATAATCTTATTATCAGATCAATGGAGTTCAAACATTATCTGAAAATATTGCTGACAACGGAGCAATAAAAAACAGCTATGCGGCTTATCAAGCCCATTTGAAAAAGTATAAAGATGCTAAAGTTTTGCCCAACTTGTCGTATAATTCTGAACAGTTATTTTTTGTTTTCTACGGAAACGTAAGCATTTTGGTTATTGCTGCAACATTATGATTATTATTTTAAATTTTAGCTTTGGTGTGAAAATATAAGTGCCAAACGCTTAAGAGCACTCATCGGTGGAGACGGGCATTCACCAAATAAATATCGAACCAACGTTGTTCTGGGTAACTTTGAACCTTTTGCGAAAGCTTTCAACTGTCCACTTGGATCTAAAATGAACCCAACAAGTAAATGTTCTGTCTGGTAACTTTAAAAATTCTTCACAAAAACTTACTTTTATGAGATAAATTATGTAATAAAAGTAAATAATTGCTTGCATACACAAAAAATTAAAAAATTTTTGACATAATTACACTATCTCAAACAAGACTAGTAATTTAGACTTTTTACATTTTCGCGCTCTTTTTCATTTTTCAGTCTTGATCATCATCATTGACAGGCTTCCCTTTTCTCCCTGCTCGTTCGGGTAGTACATGGAATCGTCCAAATGGTTGCTAGCAAGAGCAGAGGCATGACGGCACTGACAGTGGCAGAGAGGCTTTCTCTTGCTCTCTCTCTCTCTCACTC